ATCAAACTGATTTGTTTTCGTTATATCTTGACTAAAATATCAACCAAAAATAATAGAAAAAAATAGAGTAAAACAATATGAAAATTGTAATTTGAAATGATTAATAATTTAAGAAATATCATTGTAAATTCATCAGCGGAATGTTATGAAATGAAGCTATGATTCGTGATTTTCATGTACGCCTTAGTGAATAGGTTTGTGAGGACGTTTCTCAGAGTTTTTATTGAGAAGTCGTGACCAGTGGAATTGAACTCTGTTTGGATATGAAGCAGTGCTCGATGAGAGTGCGCAATACCTTGGATTGATCTAAGCTAGACATTACCACCGTTGGATGCTGGCTGATTGATTCATAGTTTGTGTGTTCGAAAGCAAGATCGAGGGGTGCATTCGATTCCTGTGAGATGCATGCGTCATGGATGCCCGATGATGATGTGTCTCATATCAGGACTTGACGGCTATTTAGTGCTTCTTGGTTTCTAACGGTGGCCTAACACTGGTCTGGTAAGTGTTTTTTAGCGAGTTGGTTTTCTACGGGGTCGGGTGGCCAACCACACGCTTAACCAACCTTCTTTATCTGGGCTTGGGACCAGTCATAGCACCAGAGGAGCCCCAGCTGAAATCCGGTTTGTACTGTGTGAAAGGACAAACCAGATTCCTGTGGAAGAATAAATCAGGAAGAAGCTCTGGAAGTGGATAGCATACATAATGGCGAAAGTACCCAGCTGCGTCACGAGACAAGCCCTCACTTGGAACCCTCAGGGAAAAAGGAAAAGAAGATGATCAAGGAACCCAGTACACCAAGAAATGGAGACAGATATGAGAAGAATGGATAGCAGTCGGATAGAATTGGAAAAGAAGGCCAAGGACAGAGTAGGTTGAAAAAAACTGGTCGGCGGTCTATGATCCGTTGGGGATAACTGGCGTAAGTAAAGTTACAAGTATATTCAGAGATTATAGAGATTCATGAGTGAAATCTTCATCTTAAGAAAGGTGAAACAACTAAATCAATTTATGATATTTTCTAGTTATCTTCCATTGTCTTTGATGGATAATTAACTCAGACTCAATATGGTTAAATTCCACTGTTCACAGTTTTTCCTTAGTAGTTAGTCAGTCATCAATAAACGAATGATAGTTATCAGTATAAAGTCTGGCCTGTTTTGGAAGTTTTGTAACTGACAACTTGCTTACAATCCAGTAGATGTGCATAAAAATAAACCCAAAGGGACGCGCTGGGATTACAGATATCTAGATTATTGGTCGAAGCAATAATTCAAAGGCTTGAATGCTTCATCCTACCATAAGATATTTAGATTTATCAAATATGAGATATATTTTTCAACATCAACATTGAGTCAATCAGAAAAAATCAACAAACCAAAATAAACGCACAAACAAAATGATCATTGGCCTACTTTTCGCCTAAATCCACTAAAGTTTCATGAATATGACTATTATTTACAATAGATCTTCTTCTATTCAATGTACATGTCAGGGTTGACGCAGTAATGGTTTCAATGGCATACTTCAGTTGTCTTCTAATCTCTTCAAACGATGGTCGCATTGTTTGACAAGGATGTCGACAATTTTTCAGCAATTCATCTAATTTAGTTTGTCCAATGAAACTATGCATAAATTTACACAAATGATCAAAATATACATCTTTTGATAAATGTACTACTGATCCAGTGATAAGTTGACAAAATAATTGAACACTACTACTATCATCATTATCTTTTAATACTAATAAATTGGAATGTGTTGGATGTAAATTTGTGTAATTTGTCATTTGAATCGCATCACAATGACTTGTTAAATGTTGTTTGTTAAATGGATCGTTGATGGATCGTTGTTTAACATTTGGTAGTGTTTGACATTTACTGGTGGTTCGATCGGATGCAACTAACCATTGTCTTAGTTTATTCATCTTGTCGTCATTAGTTTGTAAATGCTGTTGTTGATGTTCAAAGTTGCATACAAACATAGGAGGATGTGTATGTGGTGTCATCGAATTGGACAGTTCCCCAGTCAATGCAGAATGTAAATTCACGCTAGATCGATAAGTCATATCCAACGGATAACAATGAAAATTATGATGATGATGATTATGATGATTTCTGTTCAATATTCGTATCATCTCAATAAATTTATGTTTATTCTCTACAAGTAAATGAGCTACAATCAATTCAATTAATAATTGACTAAATGACCAGATATTACTTAAATAACATTTAGTTGTTAGTAGTGTAGATGATGCTGATGATGCGGATGTTTGATGAAAATTTCTCCTTTCATTATCATTATCTACGTATTTACAGCATGAAATAGGATCATTTTCATTAGGAGGATCTATTGTTGTATTGTCAATGATTATTTGATAAATATCATAGATATTGTCATTGAATAAGTTTTGTTCATTATCAGTAGACTGCATGTATAATGATGATTGATGTATGAAATCACATGTTTCTAATCTGTGAATATCTTTTCTTATTAAAGAATGTAAGCAATCATTGGTAAATTCATTATTTAGCTTAAGATTGAAATAGAAAAAGACAATGAAATAATGAATGGGATAAGTTGAATAGAATTATTAGTACAAAATTAGTACAAAAGTGAATTGATGCGAAGCAGAGTTGATGTTCCCTCTATGATTATGTTATGTTTATCACTAGGTATGCTTGAAGCTATTACGAGTTCATCTTAGTCGATAAACGCGAACGAGACAATTACCAGCGTCCAGGTAGGCTACTTTGAATCCCAAGCTGAAGAGAAAAAGCTTTGTAAGCGTAGAAAGTATATTCTACAAACACCCAGCAATAACACAACACAATCAAGCATACAAATCTCGTTTATTTATACATCATAGAAACGTCCTTGGGACAGTTACGAAAATAGCACACTAAAATACACAGCAGCCAATCACAGCTATGGATTTTGCTGGTGGGAATTGAAATCTCAAGGTGAACTGATCAGTCCATGCTGGCAAACGTGAAATCCGAAATAAGGCATTTATCAAGCGAGTTCTGGGGATCTAACATCCCCAACAGATTAGGGCGTGGTACTAAATGTGACTAGTAGCAACATTTTGTTTGTTCTGTGTAAACTTGTGTCATAAATTTGGTCATATCAAGGTAAACCCGCTTCGGATGCTCATACGCTAACCAAGATCAATCAAATTTCAGTCAAAATATCAACAACAGAATAATTAAAACCATTTGAAATTGAAATGAATTGACAGAAGTAAGTTTTTTTGTCTTTCCAATGTTTATAATCAAAATTACTTATTTGATCAGTGTCTGTTGGTAAATGATATAGATGACTGTATTTCTGTCTTCTGAATATAAAAACAATCAGATTATAGATTGGATACATTATTCCTGAAATCATGAATCGATCAATGTTAGACCAACATTAGCAACATGGAAACACTGAACGGCCATTTCGTCCTGGTATAGGACGCATCAGCAGGGTGTATCCACGACTTTCCTGCTACTCTCAGGAATTGAACCTAGGACCTTCGGTCATGCAAGCGACCGCAATCTCTGATTAATTAATACCGTTATATCTGTTAGATTTTTTGTTTGATTATTGAATTCTACTGGTCAAGTTGCAGTATAACTACTAGTCTGTGATTTAACACTAGATATACGATAATGGGATTTCAGATGGTTGAAGGAAATTAAAGCAGGAAATTCTGAACACGGGTTTTGTGCCAGTATCGATCGGACATAGTTGTAATCGTTAAACTACCAGTAGATGTTGTAGGTTTCGAACCTTCTTTTAACAGTAAGGCCCACAGGAACATGACATTGATATTTAATTAGTGATGAATAGGTCTACAGAAGGTCAGTAACTTTATGAATTGCTTAATAATAACATCTCAGATTGTAAAACATCGTAATGCATGTTTGAATTTCGCAGAAAGCATCAATTTTATCAAGACTGACTGTCGCCTGCTAATCAATATGAAACGATCAGAAAACCAGGTCCAAGGTTTCCTGTCGATAACTTCCAACCAGCTAACATTTGCATTATTTATTACACAAAATACCCGTTTGATTACATCTAATCCTCTCAGGATGCCCACATGCCAACCAATACTGATCAAATTTCAAGCAAAATATCGATAATAGAACAATGCGAACCGTTTTTGGAGCTATCAAAAACAACTTGTTGATTAGGGACGGCCAGACCAAAACATGGTACAAATTCATGAAGTCACTGAAAAGTGGACTCAGTCATGTTGGTAGATGTAGGCTACCTGGTTGAGGTCCGCGAGTCAATAGTAACCGATGGTTAGAGACCTTGAATGACATGGCTCAAAATCGTTTGCGATGGCGCAGGTGCATCCACTATTTGTGTTCTCTCAAATCCTAATCTTCTGGATTCGTCAACACACTATTTTTCTATTTCTAAGTTTATCTCACTGAATCATACTTCTTGAATATCAACTTCAAATCCTAATCTTCTCCATTAGCAGTAATTCTTCTACTATTTCTACCACTATGGGATTTGAATTGACAATTGCGTCTCTGTGCTAATGTGCAATGGCAACACGAACTGATGTACTTATGTACGAAGTTCTACGTTGCAACTGGCTGACTGACTGACTTGCTGATTAGGTTGTCGTTGGAGACCTGAAAGTTGCCTTCTAAAACTTGATTCGTGATTTTAGTAATAAACAACACTCTCCATAACTCTAATTGAAAAATCGTAAAATGTGCTCATTAGTGATTAGCTTCCTGAGGAAATTCTCGGAATTCTAATGAAAAGACGTGACCAGTGGAATTCAACCCTATCGGGTGTAGGCAGTAACTACCGAAGACAAACGGGCGAGGTAGTGAAAAATCCCTAGATTGATCTGAGCTAGACGCTAACACTGTTAGATCGCTGCTAAACGGTCCAGAGGTTCGGTGTTCGTGTGCAAGACTGAAGTTCCTGGGCTAGGATCCTGCGAGTATCAGCAGTTGTGGATACGTACTGCTGATGAGTCTCATACCAGTACTTGACGTCCACCCAGTGCTTCCAGGTTTCTCATGGTGATAAACGACAGTATCCATCAATCTAAATAACGAATATTGAAAGGTATTTATTTTTAATGAGTCTACTGCTTAAAAGAGAATAACTGACTTGTAAGAGTGATTATTATGATCAGTAGGTTAGGAGCATATATAAATATGAATGATAAAAATCAATTCTGCAAGCGAAGGTTTTAGTGACCTATCAAAGTAATCACTTTCAAATAACTTTGCTTCAAATGTAGTCTAACTATATTTTTCGTTTGCGCTAAAACATTTAACATATACTGTTTACATAGTTTCATTCCCAATATGCGTTCATTTAGCAGCTTCAGTTCAGAATTCCTGATCATAAAGAAATCATTGATCAGTCACCTGCCGGGGGTTTTTACTTTGATGTAAGTAGCCAACTATTAATTTTTACATCTTGTATAATATTTCTAACGAGACAATATAGGTAAGAATCGACCAATTACAAACTGGGTAGTTGCATTTTATTTTCATTTAGGGAAACGAACATACACTTTGGTTTTCGAAGTGTACTGTACTGACTTTCTCGAAAATTCCATTTGAAATTCGATAGTTTATAACGAAGAACTTGAAGCACTCATTGGGCAATCAGAATCTCATCGCGTCGATTTCCTGTAAGGTTACGACTCTTCACTACGAAGGAATCCTATACTCGAAAGAACAAATAAGTAGTTTAATGTGTTTTCTGGTTTTCAATGACTTTCTAGTGTATCATCAGGTCATAATGTCAGATTCTACAGTTTATTATTCTTCCCTAAAATTTGTGTTTTTACACATTTGAAATCACCAATCAACCATTGATATACCGCCATAAGAAACCTGAAAGCACTGAACGGCCGTTTCGTCCTGATACGGGATTCATCAGCAGTGCGCATCCACAACTCCTGCACCTCACAGGATTCGAACCCGGGACCTTCGGTCTTGTGTGCGAATGCCTAAACATTGGACCACTGTGCTGGCATCCAACGGTGTTAATGTCCAACTCTGATCAATCAGGAGATTTCGCACTACCTTGCCCATTCGTCTTCAGTAGTTACTACCTACACCCGACAGGGTTGAACTCCACTGGTCACATCTTTTCAACTCCGTTAATGTCAACGTAAAAATACCATTCGCTTCACATTAAACAGAAAAAACATGAAATTTGTAATGTTTCACTTACTAATAACGGTTGAACAAAAGCATCACTGAATTTGTTATCATTCATCTTCGAATATTTTTTATTCGAACACGATAATGAATTAAATTGAATTTTCAATTTACAATTCAAATAACTATCCAACAATATAGATTTACTAGTAAAATTCTATTCAAAAGAAAAATGTAAAGAAATTAGTGGAGAGAGATTGTTTGACAAGAAGAAAAACAAATCATGTCAATGTCACCTTGATTGTCAGTCTGATTGATAATTGAACATTCGTTCAATCAATGAATTAAAACAATTTTTCAATGTTGAAGAAATTTTTAATGAAGGCTCTTTGAAAAAAAGTATCGGCCATTTTGTTCGATAACGTCAAATAATATTGGTTATGCTTTTGATATCAGTAACAAATATCTGAAAGCGAAAATGTATTCACGTGGGAAGATTTCAGTGATTTTTCCTTCAAGGAGAGAAACATTCTAGATATATATTTCAAAATATCCTATTAGTGGACCAGTCACATTCTAGGTAGAAAGTTTTTTTGACAAGACCGATTTGAAAAAAATGAGACAGAAAACTCGACATTTTTATTTAAAGAAAAATCATGACACGGTAGTTCAACGTTGTAAATTGATAACAAGTAATTAGAATTGTTATTTCAAGAGAGAGTAATGGATAGTCATTCATCTTTTTACATGGGGATTGTTTGTTCTGATTTCAGAAGTCGGAACGGAGCGCAGGACCTTCAGTTTCACTGGGGTCTTGGGCGTAAATTTATAGCATCTCACCATTCAATTGATTGTACTGTAGGGAAGGAGAACACAGGTGGGGCAACCGAATTGTATTTAACGAAAATTACAGAGTTACTCAGTAAAATAGGAAAACCATATCATAAACGGTTAATTTGCAAATCTTCAATCCATCATCATCAATCCATTGTCTGACATTTCACTTATTCATGCATTTCATACAAATTCCATTGTGTTCCCACTCTTCTTCCTTTCTTGATCTTCCCCCATCTTCTGCTGCCAGACATTACGTTGACACTCACGTCATATACTACTTATAAGTAGCTCGCACCACAGTACTTCAATAATTAGTCATTTAAGTTATTCGATAATTGTATTTTTATATTTGGAATAATTCGATCACAGTATCGATCATTCCATATATTCGATTGTGTGTGGATGCTTATTCGCTTATTACATGTCTAGCCTGTAATTGTCTGACTATGAATACTTAGCCATTCTTCAGCCCACGAAGAGTTGGCTTACTCGCCTTCTCCAATTCGCTTTGTTTTGTTTTTACAGTTTCCATTCTCATATTTGTCTGCATAAATGA